GGCCATGTATATAGACCTTCCTGAGCTCTCCTGAGCTTCCTGTTTTCCTCTCCTCACTTTGTATTCTAAGGTCAGAATTCATCAGTTCGTCACATTACTCTTGCCTCTTTATGTTAACTAACAAAGATCAGCTAAGAATAGCTGCCTTACAGACGGATGATGTTCTTATAGTTGTCAATTCAGCTATAAGAGCAAAAGAAGAGAAAGAGCTGGTCAAATCCAAGCTAAAGAGCAAGGAAATGAAGACCTTCACACACGCCGAACCGATGATTTTCAATAAATGCAAGCTATCTTTAGATAAAGACGGGTTCGAGCTGTTAGTTAAGCAAAAAGAACAAGGTAAGAGGCTTGCCGTGATCAAGCTCGATTCAGCCATACGGGCTAAAAAGTACTTAAAGCAACGTGCTCGAGAGGCGTATTTAGCTACTATTTGCTACTTAAAGGCATCTTGCGCTCTATCGATAGCTGCCCAGCACTAAGAACCGAAGGACGAGGACTACAAGGCCTTTAATAAAGTGATCCAGTGGCTGATCGATCACTCAACTCGAAGGATCTATTACGTGCCTTTAGACTTAAAGACGGCGAAGCTCTTCGTGTTCGTAGATGAAGCATTTGCTAATAACGCTGACCTTAGCTCTTAGATCGGTTTCGTAGCTATCCTTAGCAATGAAGCTCACGTAAGTGAGAACGAGTTCACTCTGACGGGTAACATCTTCTATTAGGTGTCACAAAAGTGCAAAAGGGTGATAAGGGCGGTACTAGCCTTTAAGTTATACGCTATGTCCTTAAGTATCGATATAGCTATTGCTATGTCGACTACCTTTGCTTAAATCACAGCTTAGCTAAAGATCCTTAATTTCCCCGTAGTTGTGTGCACTGACTCTTACTCGCTTTACGAGTGTATAGTAAAGCTAAGGACTACTAAAGAAAAGCGCTTCATAATCGATATTATAGCTATTCGGGAGTTATACGAAAAGCGAGAGCTCTTTAAGATACGCTAGATCGAAAGAAAATCCAACCCTGCTAACGCTATGACTAAAGTCGGGGCTAATACCTCCTTGCAAGAGCTAGTTTTGACTAATACCTTAAAGGTGCAAGTGGACGGGTGGGTGGAAAGGCCGCTGTAAAAGAGGGAGGGATAAGGTTGTTTTTCCTTTGTTTGATTACCTTCCTTCTTTTTTTCGGTCGATATAGTAGTTGGCAAAGCACTGCTTGCCAAAGAGAGAGTTGCCGGTGTCGGTATATCCATATCGACCTTAGCTAGCTAGTAGTAGTAGTAGTAGTTAGGGAAGCTCACCCGTGAACCATGGTTCACGGGCCACTTAGCATACCTCGCTTAGCATGCCAACTGTCAAAGGACCCCCCAACTTGACAAGTAAACCTATTAGTTAGCTAGTGCACGTGATTCCTTCTAATCATATAAAAGGAATCAGCTCCCCTGAGTCTTGGGGAGTAGACAGAATTCAGATACTTTATCAACCGAGTGTTTTGCAATTGCAAGTACTTTGACGACCGTTACGACCTTACGAATATATATTCCCAATCGCTTGGAAGCAATCCAACAATATCTTTTATTGACTATATCTTTGAAGGCCTTACATTCATCTCGGTATTGATAAGGAGCTTGAGTTGTGTCCTCGGAGTTCTCGTAGAAGCCACAATCTTGCATCTAGCTCTTGTATCCTTTACCTTTTTCTTTTTTTCGTTCTTGTGGTTCGTAGCCGATAGTAGCAATTTGAACTTCACTTTCGAGGCTGACTTTACTTCGGGCATCTTAAGCGGTATACTTAATAAAGGCTTCGTCGTAGTCTTCGAATCGAACTTAAGGCTAAGATTGGATAAGGCGTCGAGAAGTTGAGTTAGCGACTTAGTCCTCGAAGTAATCAATTCGATTATAGATCGCACCGATCTGCAAGTTAGAAAACTTCTTAATTATAAAACTTACTTTATCAATTCTTTCTTTTTCACTCGTGAACCGTAGTTTACGAGTGAACGGCACTATTACTAAGGCTTTCTTAGCAGACTTAAGAACGCTAGCTAGCTCGGTGTGTTTTTTAACCAAGGTCCGAATATCCTTAGTGAAGTTAGCTAAAAGAGACTTCTCTCGATTCATAGCTTCGATAGTCTTAACACTTTGGTCGGTTTTAAAAGCGAATGCGACGAAGTCGTCGAAAGCGGCATAAGAGTTTAAGTCGAGCTCGTCGACTTTATAATGTTTAATCGTTTTGTTTCGGATTCCGACGGGCAATCCGAGAAGGAACAAGCGGCTTTGTTCGGTCTTGCTTAAGAGGTGCATTAAAGTAAGTCTTTCGAAGACTCGAAAGAAGGTGCGATAATAGTTTTTCAAGTCATTGACATCCCGTTCTTGCATAGCAAATTCCCGCAAGAAAGCGACCGAGTCCTTGATCTGCTAAGTATCGTTTTCACGAAACTCGGCTCTTAAAGCTTTAACGAAGGCAGTCCAATCTTTCTTAGCTTTTTACTCGAGCAAGCTTTTAATAACTTCTTTGCGAAAGTTATCGCAGTAACGAAAGAGCTTAATAAACCGATCGTCTTAAAAGATATCAAAGTCTTTATAAGTCTCTTCGTACTTCTCGATGAAGTCGGTGATATTGGCATTATTAAAGCAAGGAGCTTTTGAAGCACTTAATAATAGCATGCGAGTAATCATAAAAGCGTAAAGGATAGCAAGGTCGACTATAATTGGCGCAAGGCCTGGTAGAAGAGCAGAAAGAGTAAGAAGAAGAAGGGTGGTGGAAATCTTAAGACCGATGTTGATTTTAAAAGGCATTTCCGAGGCAAGTGTTTCCGATAAAGGTAAGGGTTCTGGTTAAGGGTCGAAGTAAGATAAGGCTAGTCCGAAGCTTATAAGAATACGACTAAGGGATTCAACAAATTCAAAAGATTCTAACGAAAAAGAAGGTGATTCGGCGCCGACTTCGATGTTAAAAATCTCAAGAAGGTTTTCGGTATTCTAAAGATCAAATATGTGTGTGTGCTAAGAATGATCGGGTTGATAAAAGGTTTTTAAATTGTTTGATTTTGATTCGTGAACCGGGTTCACGAGTAAAATAAGCGATTTTCGCAAAGTATTTTCGATCCGAGATTAAAAAGAGTAGACCCTTTGCAAAAGTAAATTAATAAACAAGATCAGAACTATAAAAAACTTAAGAATCAATTGATTAGCTTCGCTAACAACTCCGGACTATATCAATTGCTCTAATTCAAGATGAGAGCTAAGGTATAGAAAGATATTTTCATTAATAAATGAAAATTCTTTTTTATTGACAATAGAAAAGAGTTTTTACCGAAGAGCCGAAATATTACACTTCGGCCATTTCGACATTCCGGTGTCCGAACCTATCGGGAATAAGGTTTTAATTGTTTTAAAGTTGTAGTTGTAAAGTGAAGTGCTAAATGATGAACGAAGATCAACTTGACTGCGAATCAAGCGATTGTAATAAGCTGTATGAAGATAAAGACTAAAGGTTTAAATCCTTGCGTAAGTCACCAATATAAAAGCACTTAAAAAGATGTGCCGAGTAAAAGCCTAGCTCTAAAGCTAGACCTTATGGTCTCATAAAGAAGGTGTTAGAAAAGGTGGGTGGAAAGCTCGTTGATTGTTCTAGCTAAGAGAGGTGTGCCCTTTTATAAAAGATGGGTCCGTCTAGTGTGGCCCTAGTGGCCATGGCAGGTACCCCATCAGGCAGGGTGTTTACATTAGACTCAATCTGCCTCTTTTGGTTAGTACCTTGCGAATCTATGGTTATTATTAACCATTAATTAGTATTAATAAGTCATAAAGGGGAGGGTGAGTGATTAATCAGTCGTGTTGTGGTTATATTTGTTAATGATTCTTCTACTCTATACAAAGTGGGCTGCCCCTTAAGAGGGCAAGAGCCACGGCAGCACGTGCCTCCTTACGTGCCATACCCCTCACGTGTCCGGTGCACCATACCGTGCCAGTAGTCCGACACTGTTCCTATCAGGACGGCACAGGTGGTCGATCCACTTCTGGAAGAGGGCGCGGGAGTCTTGCTTCTCTCCGGATTGACCAGACAGAGCATAGGAAAGGAGAGGTCATCCCGGTGGTCTGCCGTTTCTCAGCACGTCACGTGATATGACGACCTTCCACCACCCAACCAGACCGTCATCTCATCTTCCAGGCCAGAGTTGAGTCGAGCTCTTCCGTAACTCGAGTTCTCTACGGTTCACACAGAATGATCCATCCGTATCATCTGGATAAACCATCTGGATAAGCCACCGTAAATGAGTTGCTGATTCGGATCTTAATGCACTCACTACCTTTTCTTTTCAAGTGCGGTGGATCGGTATGCCCTTCTAAGCGAGGCCCCGCTTACTCTTTCCCCGCGTATCTGCACACAAAGCTTGGCCTGCTTGGAATTTTTTTACTAACCAATATATTACTTTTTTGTTACGGCTCGGCATAACAGAAAAGCGTCTGTGGTTTAGTGGTAAAATCCATCGTTGCCATGTGTCTCTCACCGGACAATCAGTACTCGATGGGCCCCGGGTCCGATTCCCGGCGGACGCAAAACAGCAGTCAGGCTCAATGCCTGACGCTTGAGTTTTGCATGTTGCCGTGACTTTTTCAACTCCATGTGGAAAGACTACTTGATAGCTCGATCTTTTGGTTCAGGTGACGGGTAGATTCCTTTTTTATCTGCGAAATTCATCTCACGGTGGCTTTTGTATATGCGGAGCAAGAGCAATGTCTATACTTAAGGAAGGATATTACATACGGGCGGGAATGTAGGAAGCTGGGTAGGGCAGCTTTTTGTTTTCTTTTTGATGAGAAGTATTGAATTTTCGCCGTCTTGGAAATGTGGGAGACGATGTACTGTTATAAACTAGACTTTAATGTGGCCTGCGATGTGGATGCGGATGTGAGTCGGATTAGGCTGGAAAATAAAGGACTAAAAGCTGTAGTTAAAGTGGCTTGACTATATGATAGAGAGTACCTGCGACATGGATTCGTTAAATGTCATAGGGAGATTGCCTTTCCCGGGCGAGACCTCCTCCTCCTCCTCTCTCTCACAGACGCACTCCTTCTCTCGGTGATCCTCCCTCGATCACCTGATCTCAAACTCCTCCTCCAAAAACCCCATCTCCAAGGCCTCCCCCTCCATAATACCATGCACATAGCACTCGCCCACACACTTCCACCAACAATCCCCATCCCGCTCCCCTTCCTCCCTCCGCAACACGACCGGGACGCTACACCCCTTCAACACCACCACCGCATCCCCCTCCACGGCAGCCATCGGCGCCAGTCCGATCCAGCCCCTCTCCCGACTGACCAGAAACTTGCGGTTCCAAATCACAGCCTGCACCCGCTGCAGGAAATCGACGACCAGACTACTGCTCCCGGCCTCGCACGCGGCAATCAGACGGTTGGTGTTGATGTCGCCGTTGGGCGTCGATTCCGCGAGGCAGTACAGGAACGCGCGGTGGTACCAGCTGGGAGCGTTGGTGCCGAGGGGGCCCCGGTCGGCGACGAGGGTGCGCCAGAAGGGTTCGGGGACGGTGTCGATCTCGTCGGAGATGGTGCAGTGGCCGAGCTGGAGCCATTCGTAGAGGATGATGCCTTCGGATGCTCGTGGGCCTAGTCTCGCTATGGCGTCTAGACGATGACCTCTGACGAAGAGGGATCTGGGAGCGGATGGGGAAGAGGAGGAGATGCGGAAGGAGGCCGTGGTGTTTTTGGTGGCGTTATAGCAGTGGTGATCGGGGATCCCGACGAGAGAATCGGCATCTGTTCGTTCAGACACGTTGGGGTCGAAGGGTGCTTGCAGGTTGGATTGCAAGGGCCGGATCCAGGTTGGGAGCTGCGCCTCTTTTTCGGGGATGGAAGAGGCCCAGCGACGACAGAGGATGTCCAGGGATTGGGAGGTGGTGACGGCGTGGGCGAAGAAGTCCTGGTACACGTCGAGAGTTGTTCGGGCGTAGTCTATACGGAGGGCTTCGTTCAATGCGTGGGAGTTTCCCGTGTCCAACAGTGGAGGTCCGTCCTTAGCCAGGGCGAGAACCGAGTAAATCCTATCACGAGGGTCGCCAGATGACAGGTCGGAGAGTTCGGAGACCAGGGCTTCGAGGCTCAGGAGCCGCTGGACGCCTTCAACGTGGTCGGTCTTAGAAGTCCGACGCAGTGCGTTGGTTGTGACATCGATGAAGCGCTCGACCATGGTGATTTTCCGGTCTGTCAGCTCCCTGGCATCCTTCTTCTTGTTGCGGAAGAGCACTGAGATGTGTTTTCGACATGACAGGAAGATAGTCACGGCGTCCACGAAGTCGGCGTAGTGGATCGCCGGGGCACCGCAGTGAAGGGTGACATTCCGGGCAATGGCGACTTCCTGGACCAGCCACAGTCGACTGAATACTCTGTTTTTCAGGAGATTGAGAAAGGCCGCCCATTTGTCAACCGCCTCTTCATCTTGCACCAGCTTGTCCACGTTGTTGAGTTCGAGGATCTGGGGAATGAAATTCAGAGCGGACTTGTAGACCGGCTCGTCGCCTAGCCAGAAGCATAGATTTTCTGCTTTGTAAAAGATGAATCTTTTCATGGCGACTTGCTGGCTCTTCTCTTCCACGTTGGCGTGGTTGATGCATAATGCATCGATCCAGAAGAGCCGCGCCGCCGTTGGATGTCGAAGGCTCCGCAGAGCCGAGTGTAGATTGGGTTTCAACGGTCGCCGGTGCGTCTTCGCGGGTTGTTGATTGTCCAACAGCTCGACCTCATATTCTAGTTGCGTCTCACTGTTACCAGCCCAGAGATACGATACTGCTTCGTACTTGGGCGGTCTGGCAATGGATGCAATCTCAAATGTACACCTCAACTTGTCGTCTTTGCGGCCCCCTTCAAGCCGCAGAATTCGAAAGGCATCTTCCCCCAAGGGCAGGTATAGAGAAAGCGGAGGTTGGTCCTTCCTTGCCGCAGACGTTGGCTCCGAGGCCTCCTTCATAGGTTGCATCAACGTCCCCTGACGCTCCCTCTTGACTCTCTTGAGAGGGTTCGTCCGAGCCGGTCTATCAAAGACGACGATTTCGCTGCCAGAACTCTCATCATCGTCGCTTGCCACCCGTTTCAAGTCCGACCGATCTGGCGTTGATCGCGGTTTAGAGCGACGGGCAGGTTTGGACAGGTTTTTGCCACGCGTGCGGGTATTCAACTCGGGCTCAGAGCATTCTAACTGATCCGGGCGATGTTGAAGACATCGCTGGCATTTTTGGGGCCAGACGCGATCTTCCGGGAAACACTTGTTTATATCGGTCAGCCTCGTCCGCGACCTCAACCACGCATCGCCTGACTATCTATAGTCGCCGTACCTTTTTCCTGGCCTCGCGACACGGTTTGCACTTCCAGAGATTCAGTTTCCGGCGCTTCTCAGCGCCCTCGTTGCACTCCCCATCAGAGCCGCTATTCTGCTCCTCTCCATTGCTACCGCGCAAGGGCAACGGCACGGCGGCGCGGCGAGGCGGAGGGGTGCTTCGCGATGTGTCTCTGAGTTGTGGGTCTATGGAATCTGCCATCGTATTGTGGTCGCGATGCCCCAAATTGTTGTCGCGCTGGTATGCGTGAGATGGCTGAGGCGGAGGGAGACTGAGGGCATTTTGCCGGCGCTGACGGGTGGAGGCCCAAGTGACGACGTTTAATTTTGGAGATGATACGTGGCTGTGGGACAGGGAAAAGGGGACGCGCGAGATCAAAACGAGAGCAAATCTGCATGAGGGACTCGGGGACTCCGAGTGATAGCACTGCGCAGATGTTAGTCGGATCATCATGCATGGCGTACGAGAAGTGCAAATTTTGATTGATCGGTGACAGCAAAAATCGCAAGAGCGCGAGCATCCATGAAAGATTATCAGGGAGCGCAAATTCGATAATATCAATAACGCATCAATCAAAAATCGTGAGTCCGGGGCAATTGCAGATCTAGTTAATACTTAGTTGAAGAGACGATTCTTTATTGACAATTGTAGAATAGGCGAATGAACCGAGTTTAGTTGAAAATTTCGCATTCTACACCCTCAGGACGAGGTTGAGCGGCGATATCAAAATGGTGTATCAGCTACCCAGAGGATATTCTCGTCGACGCCAGTTGCGCTACAAGACCCAAGACACCAAATCAGCATGTATACGAAGCAGGCAAAGTCGTGTGACTCGAGCACTGATGCCTGCGCGCGCTCTCAAATCTGCATCTCTCTAAGTTGGGATGGGATCTCAATCCTTCCAGCGCAATTATTCCGACTCTTCTCTCACAAGCCCTCGCGCCAGCAAATCAACAGTTGCGATGGCCACGCAGTGTTACTCCAAAAACCTGTTTCCTGTGCACTAGTGCAGTAGTGCAGTAGTGCAGTTTCCTTTGCACAGCCAGGTGGAGCAGCGTAAGCAAAGGGAGACCAAATCTTCTGCCTGGCGTAAGGAAGAAAATGGTATCATCAACCTCCTTCTGCATGGCAACAATAACAATTCGCTGGACTCGAGTGCACTCAACTAACGAGGCGATGCATATTCTTGGCAGGAGGGCGCAGTGCCATCTTGTAGTACCAGAGAGTCCAGCGCAGGCAAAGCGACGGCTTATTTGCTCTTCATAAGCTGCTCATCGCCCACATTTCGGCTTCTATCACCATCCATTCTGTCCGCGCAAGCATTAGTTACATTTGCCATCAATTTGCCGTCGCTTAATGCCATTTGCTATCAACAATCTATATATCTACAGACAACAAGATGACTACCTCCGCATCTCCATCCCACACTTCAGTCGTGGAACACGTTCTCTACGATACTCCATCCGCTGCCAAAAACAATGTAAATGGTACATCCAATCTTCTCCTCCCCATCTTCTGTCTCCACAACTAACAAGTCTCAGCCCAAGGCATAACTAAATATGGCTATAACAACACTAGTCATAATGCCGAAGACCCAGCGCGAGCTGAGCACATCAACAGTTAGCACTCTGCGATTCAAGATCAAAACCCACCAGAGACTAACTCCTATGTGCAGCCGCTCTATCCGCTATCGACAACACTGTGATCTTCCTCCAGGAAGACACCCGCAAAACTTGCTCGCCAGCTCCTCATCAACAAGCCCTCTACAGGGACGAGCTGCTCTTCCTCTCCTCCCCTGCTTCCCCCCTCCCCACCATTGACCTCGACACCGACAAGTTCTTCGAAGATGCAGACGCCTGCATCTACTCTCCTACCCCGCCAGCTCTCTACGTCTCTACTGCCCAACACGCACAGCAAGATAATTTCACGCAACAGGAGGACGAGGGTATCGAGCTTGGCATAAGCTACGCCGATACCGTACACCTGAACTTTGACGATATCTTCCAACAACTCGACGCGTACGATCTTCAGGCTCAGGAGGGGTATGTGAGTGAGGATAGGAAGGGTGAAGTGGAGCAAGCGCAGGGGAGCTTGCTAGGGTACTGGGCTGGGGACTATCAGCGTCATGAGTGGGTTGCGGTGAAGTTTGAGCGGGAGCGGTACGTTGCTGATCAGCCGTCTCCCACTACTACTGTCCATTCACAACTTTAGCTGGTCTGCTTCTCAAGCATGGAAGCTGGTAATGAGATGGTTATGATATCACGGTGGGAGGTTAGGTCATTGGACGTATTGATAGCGTTGGTTGGAGAAGCACGGGAACAGGTTAACGGGACTGTCGTGGCGTTTTTCGATTTAAACGAGGAGATAGACTTGGGACTTGTATTTCACTGCTTTCTCACTTCCTTTTTCTGCGATAATCGATTGAGCTGGCATTCGTTACCTTGAAGATGTACATTGAGCATTGGTTTTTTGGAATATACCCACTCTACTCTTCTATACTCCTCTATCATCTCACTCTCGATAGCTTGATATCAAACCGATCGATCAACTGCCCCCTCTCTTGCTACTTCTTAGGTATGTATATATCTTATTCTCAATATTTCCTTTCCCTCTCCCTCTTCCGCTCCCGCTCCTCTAACCTCCATGCCACCTATCTCTGTCTGCTAATCATCTACAGCGCAACTCCATCTATCCATACTCAAGCTATTAAATGAATTGAAATGAAATTATTATAGTACAAATATATGTAAAGATCCTGTACACCGAATCAGATCTATGATCCAGTGTTCAGTAAGACGTTCGACTATTATGGCAAGACATTCCTCGACTTGAAAGATAGTCATGCCCACTTAGCGAGGCGGTTCTTGTAATTTCATTGCTGGATGTGTATCGTTAAGGCGCAGAAGAGAAGATATGTATAATACGCTTAAGCTCGGCTTTCTTTCTGCCTAGACCCACGATACTACGCGCTTTTTCCTTTCGTGTACATGCTGCCGTTGAATTTCTTTTTTTCTATCCTGTTGCTAATTCAAAGATCGCTGTCATTTCTCCTTATATCGCGCAAGTTCGTATTCCCTCCTTGTTATCATTCGCCAGAAGCCGAAGCAGCCCCCCCTTTTTTTTAGGCAAACGAAGCGGGCGAACCAGTATGTATATAGTCTACTCACCTTTTTCCGCGCACCACATTGGGTTTTTTCCGTCTTTGATTTCCCTATCCCTGTCGTCTCGATCATAGAGTCTGTCTGTTACTTGTCCCTCTCCGTTGGCTCTCCCTCGCCAGATCGATAGCTTGGCTTGTCGCTTCACTCTTTACAGAAAAATACTATTCTTCTATGCTCTCCTAATAGTCGTGTAGCAATTCGGGGGCCAAATTCTCTCGAATTGAATTATTAGGTAACCGACGAATTACCTACTCCGCTTTTGAGTGTACTATTTCATTCATTCACTCTTTGCTGACAAGCCAGAAAGGAAAAGCGAGCGCAACTAAGGCTTTCACTTGCGATCGTCTGATTCTACGTATTTAAATCGGAAGAGCAGGCGCTATGTCCGAGATCCATCGATGATCGATTGGGGCTGTTTTACCAGCGCAGATGCCGCGTTCAACTGGTCGTTGTGAGAACTGAAAGTTGGTCCTCAAATCCATACGAGGCCAATGTTTATCGCGCAGCCCTCTACAGGCACCACTTCAAAAGGATACGAAACCTGTGCGGAAGTGAAATAAATATCTTGTTGTCGTCTCTACGGTCATTCTCATTTTGGGCATTTGTAGCGGAGCAAACAACTACTTTGCTCCCATTCCATCCTTACCTTTATTGTCTGGTGACCTACGCAGGGATCGAACTTGCAATCTCTTGATTCGCAATTAAGCAAGCAGTAATTTATACGACCAACATTAACAACACTAATAATACCAACAGCACCACCAACCATAGCAACTAAAGAAAAACACCTTAATCTCTTAGTTTCTACTCAGCAATACCATTTAAAACTTACACACCATAGCTAGTTAACCTGCTACACTCATACCTATACTCATAACTTACACCTAACCGCATTATAACTCATAGCCCGCAACTAGCAGCCCAACATATGACAGGATCGAAGCATACAATTACATTTAAACCTATTATTGCCCATCGAGATAACTGGAAGCTTTATCAAGCTTCTCTTTATACTAATTCTGCTTAAGTCAACTCTAGTTACGAGGGCTCCTTCTTTCGCAAGCTTAAGAGTCACTTGCCTTATAAAAATCAACTTTACAAATGACCAAGGAAGGAACGGAATAGCTTTACATTCTTGACTTACCTTCTTCTTCAAACTCCGAAGAAGTATATTAACAGCACCTTTAATACTTTCACTCCTCATTATTATTACTCTCACCTTTACACTACTATCCTTCGCTTTCCATTGCGTTAATTCTCTTTAGAGCTAAAAGAAATTTACTGTCTAGACTGGTAAGCGAACTTTTATTAAAAACGTACTTATGGATGACAAGATCAATTACATCGCCGTTATAATACTCGAACACTAATACCTAACACCACTACACTACTTAAGGCAACAAACAAGATGTCCAACTTAAAGATGCCGAGATTCGACAAGTGTAAAGATTACGATAGAAAGATGCTAGCAAAGCTATAGCTAGATAAACTTGATTACGATTTCGAAGTCGTTAGCTTGAACAATCTTTCTCTTTTAATATACTTTAAAGCGATCTTAATACTGCTGACTAAAGAAGCTAGCAGAAAGTTCAGATCCAACATAAGAATGAGGCATATTATTATTAACCGCACTATATCTGTAGAGAAAGAGAAGTCTGAGGTAGTAGAGTGGCTGAAAACACAGTTCTCAAACGATGAAGGATTGATAAAAGAACAAGACGTTATTACGGAAGTGTCCAACTTCCAACAAGGCCCGAAGGAGAGCTTAGCATCATACTACTTAATAACTGTCGCACTTCTGAAAAAGACTGGAAGCAGAGATTTATAGAGAAACGAGAGCCTATTGACAGATCTACTCTCTCTCTCTCTCTATTTTCTTCTATACGAGTCTGACCAATCCTCACTTACTGTTATCATATCTGCCAGTGTTGCCATTTTTTCTCGACCTCCGCCGGGGAAAGTCTCACAGGGAAAATTCCGCCTCTCTACGACAGACCTTATTAACAACCCGCAGTCAATGCCGACTCAAAACGAAAACCCTAATATATCCCCTGCTTTTTTTCCGGCTCGTGATAGCCTTGCGGCGTGAAGTTCTATCAATCGTTAAATTACGATTTACATTTCCTTCAACATTTCATGAAGGGGGAGAAAAGAGCATCGAAATGTGTTAATCTCAAATCACATCCTACAGAACGAAAACCCGGACGCTGGGTCCTAGCTCCAGAAGCTCCTTCATCAGCTTATCTTGACTGAGTGAATCAAGGCCAGCTGAGATTTTCACTTTCACCAGCCGCTTCTCCTCATCTTGTACTCGCCGGCGAGTCCATTTTCTGACATGTGCATAAAAGCCTCAAGAGGTCGCGCACTTTTGAAAGTCAGTTGTTCCACAGTCCTAGTCAAGTTTTTCAAATAAGAGCCTGTCTCAGGGGCGTGTTCTCGACGGACCCAATAGCCCAAATAGTCAGCTCACGAGGTCTCACGCTGTTTGCAGTATAGATATACCAGTTCTCTAATGAGACTGCTTGCTTGTATAAACATATCACTGCTGAAGCTTTGTCGCCACCAACTTTCTTCTTGCTGTCACTCTATCAAGCCTTCTGTATATTTTCACGATTTACATTCATCACCCGCTTGCCGTTGATCTGTTCGAGGGTGCAAGATCTTCCGTCTCGACCAGCAATTCCAGAGACGCGAAAACGGTCCTCTCTCCAAGATGGTCGTAGTTTCGGTCCTGCAGTCGTGTGATCGTATAGCATGACTAGGACTCCAGGCCTTTATCCTTCTCAAATATACTTCGCACACACTATCCTTCTGAGCTTGAAGTTGCGCCCTCGAGCACACGATCTCGGTATCTTACGCGTCTGCACCTCTGCTAATAGCCTTTCAGCATCAGGCTGATTATCAATTATGCGAAGCTTCTGAAGCCTAAAACGAGCGCCAAGTCTGTACGCTGAGGACTACAAGATTTTCGGTCATCAGTTTTCTAAAGGCTTTGTTATCATTTCTGCTAGAATAGGAGGAGCTGGAATTAGAGACTCCTTAGCAATGAAGAGTACAGAAAAGGTAGAAGGGTATTTTTGTAAAACGTGCCCCCTGCCTTCATCTAAGTTTGTGCGTGTCAAGACCAAAATCTTTGGCAATTTCAAGTATCAACATGTATCGACTGCGATCTCGTCTCAGCAACCTCCCGTTTCCCACGCCGCTCAGTTTTCCGATGGCCCGGTAAACTCCGCAGCGTATGCAGCCAACCGATCTGGGAACACCTACTTCTGGATCAGACGGTGTGGAATCATATACACCTCGTCTCAAGGTGTTCCCAACCCATGAGCTGAGCATACAAGGATATCTGTATCTTGATATCATCTGAATCTTACACCAGGATTTCGTAGGGAAGATGGGTGGGAAACAGACGCACGAGGAAGAGTTGGCCGGTCAGCATGGTATCGTGTCTAGTACTACGGTGGAGGTTACTAGGCACAGGGAGGAAGACGGTGAGATTGTCTGACTGTGAGGATCTGGAAGCAGTCATCTTGATGCACCTTTCCACTGTCTCGTTTTGCCACCGCCCATAGCAGCATAGCGGACAAGTAATCTGCCGACACCGACCGTTTTTTGGTCTTAGAATCTCATTCCTGTAACCTTACGAGGGGATCGATCTATGATGAGTTTTCGCTTCTTCTGGGCTGTTTTACGTCTGAGTCTTTTATAGGGAGGTGCGGTGCAAATGGGGGGTTGCGATGAATGATAAGCTCATACGTGCGGTGCGGTGCGATGCTATACATCCTCCTTATCTAGTGCAGCGAGTTCCAATCTCATGGCCTCAAGCACCTCCTTGGTCGTTTGATATTGGTGGTCCCAGCATCCCCTGATCACCTTCCCGGCTCTCAGTGAAGACACGTCCGGGAATACACCCTTCGTAATCATTTCGTTGACATAGGTCTCATAAAATCCTATGTCATCTAGCTTTAGAGGCGGCGTGCCCTCCCTATATGGCCAATGTCCCGTTAGAATAGTGTAGATGATCGATCCCAGACTGAAGATATCAATTGCCTCTGTCGGAATCCACGGCATTCGAACATCGAAGAAGGGATCGTCGGGCAGGTGGGGAATACTGTGTCCCAGCTCGCGACAGGTGGATCCACCAAAGTCACAGAGCCAGAGGTCTAGCGATGACCCATCGGCCGTGGCATGCACTAGGTAATTCTCGGGTTTAAGATCGGAGTGGATGACTCCCTGGCTGTGCACGTGTGCGACGGCTTCAACCGCCTGTACAGACCATTTCCAGCGTAATGACTTGTCAATCGCTGTGTTGTTGGAGTCAAGGTACGCCTGGAGGGTTCCATGGCTGGCTTGAGAAAGCAGAATGCCTCCAGAGGGGGTATGAGGTCCTAGATACCTGTTGTTGCTCAGCCCACGGCTATGTAAGTTTGGAGGGTCCACAAACGGGACAATTCTGGGATGAGAACCCAATTTATACAGAATTTGGCCTTCAAAACGAATAGCGACTTCATTTTCTGCCTGTAGTCTCTCGCGGTTGGGATTTCCCTCCCAAACCTTCATCGGTGATTTAAGGACAGTACCGGAGTCAAAGCGATAGAAGCTCGAGGTAGAGCCGCGGTACGGTAGTGACTCCATGTTGTGACGAAAAATAGAATGATATACAGAGATCTTTGGAAAAAAGGAATATATGTGGAGGTTCAAACGGTTTCCGGAGAAAGATATAGATACTACACTAGCGCTAGACCTTCCCGCTTGACTAAGTGGGGGCCCATCCCGCTCCTCACCGCCCTTGGTCAGGACTCAGGACCTTGCCAATATAGGATAGAGATGGTAAGCTTCCTTGGAAGCGCACCTAAACTAAGGATCTTGTGTTTTAAGAAGTCTTACTATATAGTAGTAGATGGGACTTGAATCAGCTGACTAATCGAATATCTCATTGGCGTTTATTTTAATAATCCCTGTTGCAGCTATCCATGGGCTCGCTTACATGTATACATGCGTGGACTCCATAGAAAAAGATCCTCCGTAAGGCAGGCAATTCTTCCAGGGAATTTTGGCACCCTATTCCACGTCTCACAGCATTTGATGTTGTTTTTCTTCCATAAGAGAGTCGCCTGCTCCCACGGATACTCGTTAGTTCAACTCCAAACCTGAAACGCAAGACCAGTCCATCACTACACCCATCAGTAAAGCATTTTCTTCCCAAACAGCAACCGACTCAAAGTTTGTGCCCTCTTTCCCTTTAGTTCGCAAACTGAAACAACAGAACCATTTCCCAACTTTCTCCTTAGATGTGCGACAAGACAATGTCCCTGAAAAAATGGCTATGCGGCGACGAGGAGGAAGAACAGGTCAATTTCAAAGCTTGCGGTGATATGGCCAAACCGGGCCATGTCATTAAAACCAACAATCTGGGCTCCAAGCGAGTCGGCAAAAAAATGCGGGAAGTATAACTGCCGCAATCCATAAAGGCAAGTGTCATAATTTGATAAGGACTGACGCTAACAATCTCAAAGAAAAGATGCGCAGTTCAATGATGGATCTGCAGAAAGATTCAGCAGCTCGATCTCGCTGAAGGATTGAGCAAACAAAAAGGCTACTACATTCACTTGTTGACCAACCTAAGCTATCGACTAGATAGTGACCACACTAGTTAATACAACTTCAGCTCTAGCTCGCATCTAAATGTTCGGGCTCTCGTGATTCCTCTGTGTCCCACTCTGAAGGTGAGTAATAAGGCTAGATTGACTTTACCGTCTCTGAGTTCCGAGAGAGATGACTACAGGAATTGTTTCAATCATATGATGCCGAGCGATGACTGCGCGCATCCACAGTCTGAAGCTTGGGAAGAGCCGATAGTGTAGGTTAGATTTGGGCCGAGAGAGCGTACTGGCTGGCGGGAGGCGCCACCGTGCTTGAATCCCAGAGTCTTTCAATCGAGTTCTCCGACTTGGAAGATCTCTTGGGTCTTTCAGTGCAGAAGACCGAAGTCGAGGCTCGTATTGGGGGGTTGTGGGTGGAGGAAGGATAGCCAATCGTACTTCGTGACGACGTAGGTGCCATCAGGCAGCTGGGAAGTCTCGTCTTACGTGTTTGTGCCGCTGGATATAAGGTCTCCGGAAGGTAGAAGTCCTTCTTTGACCTAAGTCTTGCCAGAGGTGAAGGTAATGTTGTCGAGTCTGAAAAGTGTCCTTAACGCTTTGTTGACAAAGTGCTGGTCTGCACCAGCAAAGTCAGGACTGATGACCCAGTGGAAGTCTCCGGGGGGGAACTCAGAGATGACGTCTAGATAGGCTGCATTCTGGAAGTAGACCCCCGAGGTATCCCAGTTCAAGCTTGAGCCTCCGCCTAAGCGAGGAGTTGGTAAACATTTCAACAGCATACAGAATAAGGGTGGTCAAAAGGCACTTCCTATGACTATCATAGTGACCAGCCGCGTTCCCAATCAGATCCCTTCCCTCATAGTACAGCTTGGTTCTATACCGCGTCCTAATCCTGATGCTCAATATATTTTCGCCAATCACGTGCTGCATAGCACTTAGCGTTTGGAAAAAGGGGCCGTTAGCCGAGACGATTTGGATCGATCGAGACAAGGGACAACAAGGTACTGGAGAACCGCACGATGAGAATAAAAACACAAGGAGAGTGCCAAAATGATAGCTTACTTATTGCTATCATGGACTAGAATCCATGGCGTTATATGGCTTTCCTTATTACCCATTACGAGGTCTATTCACTGGCGGCCCTCCGCTGCGCTACGGAGCCAGGGAACCTCGCTTCGCAACTGCCGTGGTATAAGGCTGCCTTCCGAGGCCTTGAATATCAACGCTATGTTGTTTTTCTATAAGAAATACATTTTAAAATCATGTAAAAAACTGCAAGCGCCAACTTTGAACCGTCCTCGAGAACTTAGATGAGTAAGCAAATAATTTGCTCTTAGCCCTTTGCTTCTGTCCTATTCCTATTCCGTACTGCATATCAGCCTACGCGCCCCTCGACGGCTTTTCCTCGATGCATACCGGTATAAAGGACCTCCATAGCCGATTGTGGTCTTGAGGACGTGGTCGATCCCGCCTTCGACTAGGGGGAAGGACAGGGGAGTTTCAATAGAACAATGCAACCGGCTTATGCGGCAGATACCTCGTATATTAGATTCGGTTGTTGTGAGGCGTGAAATAGTGTGCCAGGATTGCCCGGAAGAAGATCCTGTCGGATTCGATGGTGGCGATCGGATTGCCTGGCCTGCTATACGGACGATTTTATTCCATGGGGGATACATACAGTAGGTAGGTACATAGCATTACATAATATACTGGTGAGCGAGGTCACGACCTTCTTTCGTATACTTCGTAGACCTTCGTATGATTACCTTAGATTTATCTCAATCACATGACTAAACCGAGTCAGACGCGCCCCTCTCTCATGGAGCGAAGATTTTCGAAGCCTTCCTTGGATAAATGCAAATCCATGCGCAACTGCCGGATAGCGATAGCTTTACGTAGCAAGAGTGGTGTGGGGAATGAAACGCACGCCCCCTCAGCACAGGGTCACCGGCGCTCCCGGGCCAGATGTTGCAATCGTCCATGGCCACTCACAGCTGGGTGGGTCCACCACGTCGCTTCTGATGGGCCAGCATGATTGGAAATATAGACGCGGCCAGACGCCGAATCTGGGGTGGGGGGGGGAGGGGCCAGCGGGCCAGCGGGCCAGCGTGCATCGGGTGGGGTACAAGCGGGGTCGGGCTGACATAATCATGATGGCGATTGAGGGGCGAGACGGAAAGTGCGAGGATGATTATCAAGTCGAGTCGCTGCACATCTTTTGCTCACATCTCATCTTATCATACCATTTCTCTCACAACCACAACCATAACCACAACCAAAAGCATACCTACAACATCAACCCCTTTCTCTGAATAGCCTCACTTTTCCATTCACTATCCAAACAACCACCATGGCCGAGTGTCCCATCAAGAAGTCCAATATTGGTATGGGCGGTACCAAGAACCGCGACTGGTGGCCAAACGAGCTCAAGCTCAACATTCTCCGCCAGCACACCTCCGTCACTAACCCGTATAGCAAGGACTTCGACTACGCTGCAGCGTTCAAGAGCTTGGATTATGAGGGCCTGAAGAAGGACCTGACCGCCTTGATGACCGACTCCCAGGACTGGTGGCCGGCGGACTTCGGTCACTACGGTGGGCTGTTCGTCCGAATGGCGTGGCACAGCGCGGGTACATACCGTTTATTTGACGGCCGTGGAGGTGGCGGGCAAGGTGAGGGCTTCTGCAGACTGCCGTCGAGGTTCAAAGACTGATCATGTACAGGTCAACAGCGATTTGCCCCCCTCAACTCGTGGCCTGACAATGTTTCCCTCGACAAGGCCCGTCGCCTCCTCTGGCCCATCAAGCAGAAGTACGGTAACAAGATCTCCTGGGCGGATCTCTTCCTCCTTGCTGGAAACGTGGCTATCGAGTCTATGGGCTTGAAGACCTTCGGTTTCGCGGGTGGCCGTCCTGATACGTGGGAGGCTGACGAGTCTGTTTACTGGGGTGGCGAGAGTACCTGGTTGGGCAATGAGGTCCGTTACTCTGATGGTAAAGAAGGTATCGAGGGCCACGGCGTCGTCGACGGTGATCAGTCAAAGAAGGAGCACTCTGACATCCACTCTCGCGATCTGGAGAAGCCGCTGGCGGCTGCGCACATGGGTTTAATTTATGTAAACCCCGAGGGCCCTGATGGTATCCCTGATCCAGTCGCCTCCGCAAGAGATATCCGAACCACGTTCGGTCGTATGGCGATGAACGATGAGGAGACTGTCGCCCTCATTGCTGGTGGTCATGCTTTTGGAAAGACCCACGGTGCTGGTCCAGCTGACAATGTTGGCAAGGAGCCAGAAGCCGCTGGCCTTGAGTCTCAAGGCTTCGGTTGGGAGAACAAATTCAAGTCTGGAAAGGGCGCAGATACCATTACCTCGGGTCTTGAGGTCACCTGGACCAGTACCCCCGTCCAGTGGAGCAACTCTTACCTCAACAACATGTTCAAGTACGAGTGGGAGCTTACCAAGTCTCCCGCTGGTGCCAACCAGTGGGTTGCCAAAGACGCCGAGGAAATCATTCCTGATGCGCACGATCCCACCAAGATGAAGAAGCCATACATGTTGACATCTGATCTCGCTCTCCGCTTCGACCCAGAGTATGAGAAGATTGCCCGTCGTTTTGCTGCAGACCAAGGTGCTCTCGAGGACGCCTTTACCCGTGCTTGGTTCAAGCTGCTGCACCGTGACATGGGTCCACGATCCCGCTGGCTGGGACCCGAAATCCCATCTGAGACACTCATCTGGGAGGACCCAGTTCCCAAGGCCGACTATCCAAGCATTGATGAGAAGGACGTCGCCGCTCTGAAGAAGGAGATACTCGGTGCTGGTGTCAGCCCCAGCAAGCTGATCTCGACTGCCTGGGCTTCAGCTTCCACATTCCGCGGCGGCGACAAGCGTGGAGGTGCCAATGGTGCTCGGATTCGCCTTGCTCCTCAAAAAGACTGGAAGGTCAACAACCCAGCCCAACTGGCTGAGGTTCTCAGCGTTTTGGAGGGCGTTCAACAGCAGTTCAACGGTGCTGCATCCGGTGGCAAGAAGGTTTCTTTGGCTGATCTCATTGTTCTCGCCGGTGTTGCAGCCCTTGAAAAGGCGTCAGGTGTTTCCGTGCCGTTCACGCCCGGCCGTACCGACGCCTCCCAAGAGCAAACTGATATTCAATCTTTCGAGCATCTGGAGCCCATCGCCGACGGCTTCCGCAACTACGGCAAGTCCAACAGCCGAGTCACTACCGAGATGTACCTGATTGACCGCGCCCACCTCCTCACTCTCACTGCCCCCGAGCTTACCGTCCTGGTTGGTGGTCTCCGCACTCTGAACGTCAACTACGACGGATCCGCCAATGGTGTCTTCACCAACACCCCCGGCAAGCTCTCCAACGACTTTTTTGTCAACCTCCTCGACATGAGCACTTCATGGAAGGCCATTGACAAGGATACCTTTGAGGGTGTTGACCGGAAGACCGGTGCCAAGAAGTGGACTGGTACTCGTGCTGATTTGGTCTTTGGATCGCACGCTGAGTTGCGCGCTATCTCTGAGGTATACGCAAGCGCTGATGGCCAGGAGAAGTTCGTCCGGGACTTTGTAGCTGCGTGGGACAAGGTTATGAATCTTGATCGGTTTGATTTGACGGCCAGTGGAGGCAGCAGCCGTCCCAGACTTTAGGAGGTGGATCTTTCTTGACGATATACCAGATTTTACTGCTTTGATAGTTTCAATCTTTAGATATTATAGTACGAAGTAGTTGATATGAATTTCTCTGCTTGATTATGACTAAGTTACTGTACCTGCCATCGTGACGAATGACATTTTTTCCCTTTGTCTTCCACCCTTTGAACCACCAATACGAAGTTTTTATGTTTTAATTCCAGAAAAGGATCAATGGTACCCACCACAGTCTCGAGAAGACCGGTTTTGGTTTTTATTATTGGTTAGATCTTGCCTTTTCGAGGTATCTCCTCCTCCTCCAATCCTCCCCCCCTTTCTTCCTTTCCTCTCCCAATATATATTTTTTTTCTTTCTTTCTTCTTTTTATCGCTTATGTGGGTACGTACGTACGTACGGACGGACGGAAGGAAGTGAATTAAGCGAGGGATGCGAGGGAGGGAAGGAGGGAGGGATTGAGGGAGGGAGACTTGCTATCTAGGATATTTATCCATTTATTTGATTATATCAGCGCTTGATTGACTTAGGTACTTACTCACTTGCTTAGTCTTCGTTTTGCTTTAGGGGGGGTGTGGGGGGGGAGGATCGGGAATGGGGAGATTGGAGGGAGATTGTTAGTTACTTATCGATTTCATTCACAAGAACTCATTCGCAAAGAACCAATCCATTGGGTGCCGTGCTACTTCCCGCAGCATTGCATTGAGAACCGCATTCGCCTTCGCCAAAGACCAGACAGACACACAACCCTGCCAGCCCGCCTCGCCGCTCGACGCTCGCGAAGCAAAGAGACTGGAAGAGCCATCTTCTACATACTTGGGGAATGGGATCCTGCTTTCGAGAAGCTGAAGCTGAAGCCGAAGGTGATCACACATCTCGGTCGGAGCCCGGCGGCGAAACCTATTTACTTATTAGATTATTTGGGTCCCCCGTTGCGTTAGGTTACGATTCTATCCTTGACCTGTTGGTTGCTGAGAGCTTGGGTATACGGAGCACGGTGTCCGGGTGTCGCTGTGCATGTACTACTACTGTATGTATTCATGCCTGTAAAGAGGGGTATACCGGTCTTTACTCAACTGATACTTATTGCAGGAGCTGATGCTACCTCGTGATTCTGGGCCGCTATCAATTCGTCGCTCGGCGTGGAGAACGGAGAGAGACGGGATTTAAATAATAGGTGGCTGATCAGGTGAAGGTGAAAACTGGCATGAATATATATAAATATATATATTTCACGTATTTCGTGACGGCATCTCTGTCCAGCTTGGTGCGGTGGTGGCCTGGTGCAGTAGACAAGCTTGGATTGTATGTGAAATAATTTGCACAATTTTTTGGTTCGGCAGTCAGGCATTTCCACATTCTGGAGTGTAACGAATACGATATGCGACCAATTCCGCGGCAATATCATTACGTGTAGGAAAGCCGCTCGGAACGGTGCAAAGATTGCACGGGAGAAAAGATTTTGGAAATAAGGACTTCAATAACCGACGCAAAACTGTAGCGCTATGTCAAAAGCTTGATGAGCATCTTTCCAGTGTTGACGTTGTCACAGGCGAAGCGAGGTACAGTACACACCTAGTCGTGAATTGCACGCGAACCTCAACGCAGAGCCCAAACTATCTTCAGTTGGATCCTGATTCTACAAGAACTTCCTCAAGAACTCTCCTAGTGCCATGATAGCCATGGCCTGCCCATACGGCATACTCGTCCTCGGGATGTCTTTGTAGAACTGGAGACTATCACCCATTCCCGTCCCGAAACTCGTGTTCTGCAGCTCCCCTTCCTTATCAATCTGCCCCATCACCGCTTTGATGGCCCTCACAGCAACCTCCTCGTACTCGGGACCTATGTACTTCTTTCTAACCGCCTTCAGAATTCCATATGCGAACCCCGCCGTTGCAGAAGCTTCCATATACGAGCCCTCGTCATCATGATCCAGTAATGTCCTCCAAAGTCCCGACTTATCTTGGTACTTCTTCAATGCTCGACATTGCGCCTCCAACGTATCGATCAAGTGTATCCTCAACGGATCCGCCGCAGGAAGATCGAGCAACTCGATAAACTCCGGAATGACAATCGTCACCCACGAATTCCCCCTCGCCCACCGCGCCCTCGCGAAATTGTGGCCCCCATCCTCGAAAGACCAGCCGTGGAACCACAGCCCCGTCCGCGTATCGAACAGATACTTGATATGGATCAGGAACTGCCGTTTGGCCTCCTCCACGTAGTGCGGTCGACCCAGCACCTTCCCGATCTTCGCCAACGGCAGCACCGTCATCATCAAGGTGTCGTCCCAGAGCTGCTGCGTGTTGGGCGTCAGATACGTGATGTGCTGCATCCCGCCATACTCCGTCCGCTCGAGGTCGTACATGGCCCACTCGGCCCAGCTGTCCAGCCACGGCAGGTACTTCTTGTTGCCCGTCTCCTCGAACACGTAGGCGAGCGTGAGAAGCGCCGCCATCGTGTTGATGTTCTTCGTCGTCCCGCCCGCCGCGAAGCGGCTCGCGAACCAGTCTTCAACGATCTTGAGAGTCTCGGGAGAGTTGGTTAGGGAGTAGTACTTGTACAGCCCGTAGAGACCGATGCCGTGCGTCCATTCCCAGTCGTTCCAGCCCTTGGTGTCAATCACGCGGCCGTCGGGGAGGGTCATGAGGAATTGGCCGGTCGTGTCGGTTATGTTGACCAGGTTGTGGGTGAGGAGGGCGATGGCATCGTGGACGGAGGTCGACGTTATGTCGGCGTACGTAGTCGGCATATTTTTTTTTTTTGTCCACTCAATTGGGAATCTTTCTCGTACGTCTGCTGAAATCTCAAGAGGGACAGATGGTCATGAATTTGGAAGGATTTTGGAGAGAGAACATCTTACAATGTTGGAGCTCATCTCGGGTTGGAGTTTCTGGACTTTCACGAGCCATTGGGAGAGATTCGAGAACTGTGGATGTTCCTAGCATTCCACTCGGTGCATCAATCCCCCGAAGTTGGATCCAAATGAGGGGGACCCCGCTCCCAGTCAAGTACACATCTACCCCTTTATTAAGCGACGCTCTAGTCCTCGGTTAGGCGAAGTTTTCCACTTACGTCAAGTTTTTCCCCATCATCTCCTGCGCATTCTTTTGCCCCGACAACGTCTCTGGGAAGGAGGCGTTCTCGCGCTTTCGGAGATGTCGTTTTCCACGAATTGTACAGGTGCTTGGCTGGCGAAATAGCATCATACCAAAGCCATGGAGGCCTGTGCTTGGTTGAGCTGGGAGCTGCAGAGCCGCTTATGAATTGCAAGCTGCACGACTAATGTAGTAGCATGGAGATATCGGGGTGATTGATTCGTGCGGATGAACAGTGGGATCCTGATGTTGGGAGTAGCGGCGTCGTATTGAGCCCATTTGGTGGGGTTGGCTTAGCTTACCATGTGTCTGGGGTTTGGGGTCTGGGGAGCTTGTGCTGTGTGCAAGACTTTCTTTCCCTCTTCTTGATTCTCTTTCTCGCGCTGCTGTTACTCTTGTTTTGGGTCTTGGAAACCCCTTCCCACAAGGTCAAGCCTTTCGAAATGGCGGCAGAGATCACCAACTCCGGTTCCCCAGAAGTTCACAAGGACACCCCTAAAAAAGACACAGATGTCGGAATTGCGCATGTCGAGCGTCGGGAGTATGGCGGGAAAGATGCAACGGACTTCAACCAGGTCGATAAGGAGGTCGCCAAGTACACAAGCGACGTCCGTATTGACATTGATGAAGCGACCAACTCGCGCTTGAAGAAGCTGATCAATCGACGGGTGTTGGTTATCATGATCATCACTTACTTTCTGCAAGCATTAGATAAGGGCACTATTTCTTTTGCGAGTATAATGGGCATCCAGAAGGACACTGGACTGGTTGGCCAACAAGTAAATTACCTTTGCTACTTGGACTTGTGACAGTTAAGGGTGGTTGCTGACGTTATTTCTCGCGCAGTACTCCTGGCTGACAACATGTATCTACATCGCTGTACTCACCGTCGAGTACCCCACGAACTGGATTATACAACGGGTCCCCATCGCCAAGTACCTCTCCATCAACATCATTCTATGGGGAACGGTCCTCATGCTCCATGCAGTCGCCAAGAACTTCACAACGCTGGTCACTCTCCGCACACTCCTCGGCATTTTCGAAGCCTGCTGTCAACCAATCTTCATCGTCATGTCCAGTATGTGGTTCAAGAGGGAGGAACAGGCCGCAACGGTGTCATACTGGTAAGCGTTGCTCGCAACCCAGAAAAGACCAGCGTTAATCGCCATTCAGGTACATGATGAATGGTGCCCAGCAAGTAGTTGGTGGTCTGCTCGCTTACTGCTTCACCCTGCTCAAGTCCGGGCCTCTCAAATCATGGCAAGCCCTCTTCATTTCCTACGGCGCCGTCGCCATCCTTTGGGGCTTCTTCGTCCTCTTCTACCTCCCGGACTCGCCCATGCGCGCCAAATGCTTCTCCGAACACGACAAGGTCCTCCTCGTGGAGCGCGTCCGCGGCAACCAGACCGGGATGCAGAACCGAGTCTTCAAGCGCGAGCAGATGCTCGAAGCGTTCAGGGACCCGCAGACGTGGTGCTATTGCGGCATCGCGGTCACCACCACGCTCCCGACATCCGGGCTCGGCGCCTTCGCCAACATCATCATCACCGGCTTCGACTTTACCATCCTGGAGACGCAGCTGCTGGCCATGGTCCTCGGCTTCTACATCATCTTCGTGCTGCTGGGCTCGGCCTGGCTGGTCCGGAAGACAGGCCAGAACCTGCTCGTGATGCTCGGCTTTGTGGTCCCGTCGTTCGTCGGCACCATCGTCCTGATGACGGTCGAGAATACCGGCCGGGCGCAACAGGTCGGGCTCCTGATCTCCTACTACATCACGCTCTCCTTCTGGTCGGCCCAGACGCTTGCCCTGTCGATGATCTCGCGCAACATCGCGGGCCAGACCAAGAAATCCACCGTCGTGGCGACAAATTTCGTGGCCTGGGCTACCGGGAACGCCATCGGTCCTCAGGTATTCCTGAAGTGGAACGCGCCGAGATATCTGATCGCGTTCACGGTGCACCTGGTGTGCTACAGCTTGCTGGTGGTGGTGATCCTGGGACTGAGGTGGCACCTGAGCCGCGAGAACAGCAGGAAAGATGCCCTGGCCGAGGCGGGGATCCAAGAGGCGCGGGATCAGGAGTTCGTGCATGCGTTTGAGGACTTGACGGATAGGGCGAACCCGAACTTTAGATATGTGTTCTGAGCGGGCTTCGCCCTCGACGGGAGATGGTGTCAATCAGAACTATTCGTAGACCCTTGGTAATCATTCTTCTAACCGCGCAAGACGTCTTTGAAAATAAGGGGGATATCGGTTTGGCCGTTCAGAATCGGCCTGCTCGTTCGGAACTGCGTCGAGCATATACGAACATGGTAGCCGAGACCTGTTAAGCGAAGTCAATATTGATCTTCGTCTAATTTACCGGCACTTTTTTTTTGCTGCCGAAGACGTAGGTACTTGAATGACTTAAGCCCTATCGATTATGTTGACGCACTATACTTTTCATCGGCCCCTACCTAGCATACTGGCTGCTTCACTTCCAAGCCCTTGTGTTTATCGGTAATCGAAGGGACGAAGGCGAAGTGGAAGACCACAAGGCTCGCTATTTGCAGCAAGAATCTTCAGATACGTTTGAAGACGCTGATGATGGTAAAGCCGGACTAGATGTCTTTTGGTCCGAGTTTGAATGTGAGTAGTCTCTCTGGGTCTAGCACAGGGCGCAAGGGTTTGGTGATGATGATTCCCCACTATAAATTTATCAGGCCATGTTTGGATAGGAAATGAAGACTTTCGGATTGGAATTATGCCAGAGTTACACCGGGATGGAAGATAAGGATGTCAGTCATTTAGGCCCAAGTTTCAAGTCGCCCCCCCCATATCAACCACATCACGTGATCGGCAGTTTCATTTAAATATCATCCTAAAGCAAGTTGAGCTTTTATCACCAACTGTAATAGCCTGAGGCCACCAGGGGGCACTGGAGCGCACGTCCCACCTTTGGGGCTACATAGGCTTCTAGCAGAGAGAGGAGCTTACCATGATACATCCTCACCTCACATACTTCTTCCCCCCCCCCTCTGAAGTCCAACTAGCGACCCCTCTTTGGACGAACCTCTAATCTGTTCCCCCTCTCTTTCATCTCTCTGTCTGTGACCAACAGCCCACAACGCGAAAAAAAACTAAAAAAACTAAAGGAAAAGCTATCTCCAAAACCCAGCTTCGATCCCCAAATACCAAAACAAAATCTATCCAGAATGGTACGTCACATCCCATGCAACTAACTCCAGATCTGAGTTTCTTGCGCTTAGTCCACACGATACCTCTCCGAAGAAGAGATCAAGATCCTGAAGCATGAGTTCGACCAGTACGCAAGTGAACCCTTTCCTCGCCTCCGGAACTACCCCTCCAAAATCTCAAACTCGTCAGTCAGTCATGATAGCTGACAGGTAGGTGGGAGCAGGATACGGACCAAGGGGGCAACATCACGGTCGAAGAGTTCGGCCGCGTGATGAAAGCGTCGGGACAGAACCCTACGGCGGAGGAGCTCCAGCAGATCATCAAGGAGGTGGATCTAGACGGCGATGGAACTATCAATTTTGATGGTACCTTTCCCTTTTCCTTTCTTTTTCCTTCTTTCCACTTTCCCCTTTTTTTTCCTCCCCTTGGTCACACCTACCTGCTTACTTACCAACCTAACTACCCATCCGTGTACTCCAAACTGACAGCGCAGAATTCATCGCCATGATGACAGGCCGCAGCCGCGCACCGCCCAGCTCCGTCACGGGTCCGGCCGCCGCAACCGCAGCCGAAGCCGAGAAAGAAACAGCCATGACGGAAGGCGATCTCGATCTCAAGGCCACGTGGAAGGAGGTCGATGCGCCGTCATCGTGCACGGAGTCCCCGCGTCTCGGCGGCGCAGTTTCGCCTGCAGGTGATGACCGGACTAGGTAGAGGAGCATGTTAGCGATGCGGAGGTCCCGATGAGATTGTCAACTCGATGGATGGCGAGTATTTGAGATCAGCTGTAAGTTTTGGTTGAATCTAGCTAAGCGAGGTGGGAGGGTGGGCTGGTGATGTGGTTAGTGCTGACGTGTGGCAGATGGATAGGGAGTTTGTGTTATTTCGCGAAGAGGAGGCTGGTGGGTGATATCGTAGGAGCGTATTGAGCGGAGACTGAAAAGAAGTATGGATCTTGCTAACAGTCATATATCCAACTTTTTCTTGCGGCTTAATGCAGCCAGAAACGCAGCCGGCACCCCCCCTTTTTTTGTGACCAGTTAGTAGGCGTTTCTTCCCTCGCAATACCACCCAAAAGAACCATCATCTCACATCTCCTCCTCTGAAGCCCTTTTATTTCCTCTTCTTTTCTCTTCACATCAATCCAAAATCATTACCCGCAGAACTTCGCGGCAAACGCTTCTTTCCCACTTACATTACAATCGCTGCCATTGATTTGAAATATGTATATACATATATTTATATCTGTCTATCTGTCTATCTGTCTATCTGTCTGACTTCAAGCGCGTTAAGCTTGCTAGAGGTATATCAGAGCCCAATCTTACAACTTCAAGTTACGGTCACAATCGAGCGAGCCTTTGTATCTTGCTACAAGTAAGCGAGTCTCAATTCCTTTTATGATTTGCATCTCCTTATACACATCCCATTTCTCGCACCTACCTACCTATCCATTATCCCTTCCACCTTCCACCTCCCATCCCACAAGCTACAAGCCACAACTCGCAAATCCTAAACCACATCTCAAAACAGTACCCCACATCCAATCCTCTTCTTCAAACATCATTCATCATTCATTCATAAAAAAAAAATTAGAACCAGAAATCTATATTCTCCCGTCTCACCGACCCAACAACCCGAAACCCGAATAACGAATATCTAAAAGAACAGCCAGAGGTAGCATCGCCTCTTCCTCCACTTCCGTTAAATGATTCAGACCATACCATCCGTCAGAAAAGGAACACGTATATATCTCTCTGGGGCCCCGCATGATGAAATTGAAGTATGTAATTGTACATGTATACACGTACACACACATATATATGGATTCATGGATTTATATACGTCGTCTCTCCTTCCCTGATACTCGATATTCGCTACAGAGAGCAAAAGCCATAAAATCATAATCTCTTTACACCTCCATCACAACACGTAATTTTCCGGAACTTCGTAAGAGGAAGATGAATTCAGAAAAGGACGTAATCTTCTTTGATAAAATAACAATTCCCAAATCCCAAATGGGTTTTCTTTTTCTTTTTTTGGGGGGGGGGGGGGGTTATTAAAATTTTAA